ACTGTGATGTGGTCTGGCCTGTTTTCTGGGAATTGGGGGGAGGGGGCATCTGTTAAAATTCACCTTTATTGTTTGTAAACTGCCACTGGCAGTCTGGTAAAGTCCCCAGCACAGTGTTGTAAAGCGCCTTGAACATAGGATAAGAGCGCTATAGAAATAAAAGTTATTATTATAATGATAAGGCTCCTAATGAATAAATGAATCATGCAAGTGTTACAATACATATCAGTTGGTGATCGATAAACACTAGAGGCAATTTGAGAGGCAAACATCAATTCATTTCTAAAGTTAGTAAGTAATACATTCTAAGCCATAGAGATTAAAAATAGATCTAAATAGTTGAACAATGTACCTATTCAAAGATTATAAATACAATAAAACAAGATTATAATACAGCTTCAAAAGAGTCGATGTCTCTAAGAATTTATAAAATAATTCATCAAATCATTCCTAAGAGAGGCGATGCTACGTTGTTTCCTAAGCTCATTTGGAAGACTATTCCATAACTTAATGCTACTAACTTGGAAAGACCTTCCTGCCTCAGTAGTATTTCGATATTTAGGACAGATTAGGTTATACTGGCCATGCCTGGTCTCTCTATCATGCAGGGAGTGATTTGTAGTTAAAGTACTTTCAATATACGTAGGGGATTCCCCATGCAGTGCCTTATAGAGTAACACGCACTCTCTTATCTTGACTTCATCAAAGAATGGGATCCAATTTAGTTTCTTGAAATTTTCCACAGTTCTTGATCTGATACCTGTACCTAATATTACACGCGCTGCACGTTTCTGCAACCGAAACACTCATGAGATATTCCTTAGAACAATAGGTCCAAACTATACTACCATACATCATGACCGGCTTAATAAGGGCATTATAGAAGAGTAATCTTTCCTCAATGGGTAAATAAGTACACAACTTTTTCAGTAGGCCAATTTTTTTGCGAAGCTTCTTACAAAATTTATCTACATGTTCCTTAAAAGTTAGTTCTTGATCAATTGTAACCCCAAGCAGTTTCTGATGTACAACTTGCTCAATAGCTGTTCCATTTGCTTGCAACTTCAAACTAGGGTCAGCTACACGTGACTTGAGACGCTTGCCAGTTACCAGAATAGTTTGTAAAATCGCGTCGAATTTAAAAAGTCATAATTCAAGTCTCCCATCACAATCAACTACGCGTTTGTCAAACAGGCGTTTTCGATGTTTTTCCCTAAATTGATGTTATATTCTCGTTTCGCCGATGGAGGACGATAGACCCCAGAGATCAATAAAGATCGTTTTGATTTATGTGGATAAACTTCAAGCCACAAGGCTTCAATGTCGTTTGTCTCAAGGTCTAAACGGTGTCGAACGCATAGATTCTCATTTACATAAGCGAGGATTCCACCCCCAAGCTTTCCTTGTCGGTCTTTCCTATATAGCTTATAAGCGGGAATACAATAGTACGAGTCCGGCACTTTACTAGCACAAAAGGACTCCGTTAGGATCAAGATGTCAAGCTTGCAGTCAGGTCGAGCTTCGCCAGTAAGCGATTTAGAGATCTCTTCAAATTTTGGATCCGTAAGCCTTTGAAAGTTCCAGTGCCAGAGCGATAAACCATTTCGGCATTGCGAGGCATATAGGTTGAAAGGGCCAGGATTAACCGAAATATCACCACATAGCAGCCCCACTCTGCAACTAGGCCAATCTGGATAAGGTGCAGTAACTTGATAACCTTGACACTAGTTTCGGAACACGCATTGCTTGTTGACCGGACGAGTTTAGATTTACCATATCGACCAGAAGGACGGTTAAATACTTGAGAAATATAAAAACGTTCTGCCAACGAAACACGATGGGAAGCCAAAGATATTCTGGAGTCCTCAATGTCGTCCTGGCGAAGAATTATTTGGCATAAACACAGAACTATAACGGACGTCAAATTAACACGTCCGACCGCCATTGCTGCCGCATTATCCAACACGTTATCGATGATAAACTTAAGAAGTAATTTGAGAAACAAAAATTAATATTGGTGCACACTGTACTAATTTTGTTTTAGCCGCTAGAGCTTAGACAGTGTCGGTACCTGGGCTTAAAGATCTTTATTGAGTCACGTCAAAAAGGTCCGTTTTTCCGAGAGGGATGAGAAATTCAAAACTTGAGCTGCAAGAGCTTCATCGAGGCAGGTAAGAGTGTTACGAATTATCAGAGTCTAAACTTATAGGAGATCGAAAGAAAGATCTGTAACCGAGTTTGAAAAATATAACATCACAGGCGTATTGAATTATGTTTAGCCGTGAGAGGCGAGACATTTTGAACGAATTCTTTTAATCAAATGAACGCCTTCTTTAACATCTCATACCATCATACTGGCATATTATGCAGCAGCAACGGGATGCCCCGCAAGAAAATTCCTAGATCTAGTATCTGTTGTAAGTGCTTACTAAGCTAAAGGCTTTAGCGAAAGAATAAGCTCAGTGACTCCCTATATCCTCTAATCATCAGTATATTCTTGAGTGAAGATTGCCTTGCTAACGTAAAAACATCCCGAAAATCTTCGTAAAATCCTCAAATCGTGCCTAAGGCAATATAACGAGCGTTTACAAAGAGGTTACAAAAGTGGCAGTAATCCTTATGTAAAGCCAGGATAGATTTAGGCAATCCTTTGGATGCAAGCAGGAACTTGAAGGGCTTAGATAAGGCCCTGGGCAGATCGATACGAAACACCAGAGGCTAGAGACCTATACCTTGTAAGATTTCTATACTATTTGCCTGGAAGTAATCTCTTTAAAAAGATCTATGAAAAGTTGAAGGATCGATATCATTCTCAATTTTTCCTTTATCTTTGGACTTAAAGTGTGGGGGGCTAAACCATTGCAGTGGCAACTTGGAAAGTCTTAACGTGGCCAATGATAACCAGGTATTCTATGATACCGGGGGAACAGGAAAATAATTTATTACAGATTTTATTGCATCAAACAAACACTGCTGAAAACAACTGAAAAGTACTTCAATCAGTAAGAGATTCACGAAATCAGACGGTTAAGAGATTGATTCGTTCATTACTTTGCAATTTTCCTTCATTATTTGACGGAGTTATTAATTTCGAATTGGAGCTGATTCGCTTAATACAGGTTAAATCGTTCAACGCAGACGAATAGGCCTAGATGTAAATTATAGCTATTCTCTTTTAAATATAAAAGTCAAAATAACTAACCTTGTTATTTTAGAAGCTGTCCCGAATTTCTTTATTTCTTGGACTCTCTTAATTTCTAAGTGATTTCATTTTCTTTTTTGATATTGCCCATGCTTTGCAGCAAAAAAAGACTTATTATGAAGACATACATACCCGAGTTCTTTTCATTCTAAATGATTAACGTCAACGTCCGGATCAAAAAACACACCTAAAGCCACTACATTTTCTGCTGACAAATTCATTGTTCTTTAATTAATCCCATTGAACAAGGGCATCAGGAAATTCCATCACAATAACTTATTAATCACACCCTAGAGCTATATCGGGTATTCGACAAACTTGCTGTCGCCATTGCAATTTTGATCGCAATGTTTTGCTACGTTCAAACTTATCCACCAGATAGTCTTAGATGAGTTAATCCTTCGCGGCTTCTCGAGACTTCCTGGCCTTTCGCTTTTTCTATTTTATATCTCCCATTTATTATCTTTGCAAATGAGCTTTGCTCCACTTTTAATATATAATAAAGCCAAATAATAAATGAAGACAAGCAAATCCGTTACAAATCTAAAAACCTACCTAATCGGATATCATCCTTTTTTTTCTTCCCTTTCTTCACTTTTTAATTTCCAAGCTGTCTCATCCTGTGCTCGACGGGAAATACCATGTGACTATGTGACCATGTGACCATGTGACCATGTGACCATGTGACCATGTGACCATGTGACCATGTGACCATGTGACCATGTGACTACATGTATACCTATCTTTAGGTAAATACCTTTTTATTGTGAATGATAAATATCATTGTTCAAAATGAAAAACTCGTATGGAGTCACCACATAAAACAATATATCGACAAATCCAAAATATTTGATGCAATAAAAGCAAAAGAAAATTTAACGTGAATGATTTTGTTACCATTTTATGACAATAACAGGGCTGGATTACCAAGCTAACTTTGACTAATGGCATCTTGCTACAGTTAGCACTACACTGGTATTTGACGAGGTTAATTGTTACTATCAAAATTTTGATAGACAAGTGCGATTAAATCACACTTTTTCTTAACACACTATAATCATAAAAGCTAGATGAAAAATATGTACAGAATCATGAAGAGAGAAATGGATAAATAATCGATAAGTTCATCAACTATAAAGTAGGAATTTCTCTCGTTGCAATTTAAGTCACGTTCAAGAAGAATTATTAATTAACTGTCATGGCGGCTGCCACAAAGGCCTTTGTCCTACTCTGTACTATGAGCTTTACAGTTGACGCTGTAAATTAATTTTACAATGGTCACAACGAGAAAGATGAACAACTTTTTCTATCTAAATGTATCTTCCCATAGTTTATTTACCTGAAGAAAAGTCGCAGCAAAGTGAAAAGCATGAATCCTCGACATGGTATCTGAATCCTTTGACCCAGCATAGGAAATATTCGCCGACCTGAACAGAACCAATAATATCCAAGGCAATATGATAGAGTCAAACTGAAGCGTCTCTGGACTCCATAGAATCTAAAACGACGCTCAAATTTCTTGTAACTCGTAAGCTCTTTCCACGTGCAAGACTAAGCGTAATTATGAATTTTAATTTTATTTACACGTTTATTTACACGTTTATTTAACAATAACAATAACAATAAATCCTTATTCCCCTGGCTCCGCAGATAGCAGTGCTAATCAAGGCGGGCCAGGAAAAATCATCGAATCATTTCGAAAATGATTTGTTATTGAAATGAGTTTTCCCACTTCTCATTTTTCCCACAAAGGCGGATTCAAATGACTGACTCTGAATTGTTCTTTCTGATCTGTTCAATTGTAAAATGAAGTAGGATGCCTCAATTTAGACAGATTTTCGACCTTATGAAGTTCAATAGAAAGCTGCAAATGATGTTCAAAATTTAAAAATATTCACTCGAACTTAGATGAACCTGAACTTAAAAACGTTAGCTTGAATAACATATTTTTAGTCATAAAAGAAGCAGATAACCAAGTGTGTAGTAAAAGTACTCGTGAACAAGATATTCATGACACTATAAGAAAATATTGTGCACAGCATTTGAGATTTGATTTCAATCGACTTTGTAAGCAAGTTACTCACAGAGAAGTTTATCTAATTTTAATAAACCTTTAATTAGCTATTTTGAGAAAAAAGAGCTAGCCTTGTCCAAGCATAACTAATTATGCTGATGACACGGATCAAAACTTTGTGTATTTTTATCACGACGATCTTGACGCATAAGCGTCAAATTAAGATCAAAATATTAGATCAAGCTTTGAATGCAGATAGATTTAATACTTTACCAAAAACTGCTTAAAGATTTATAGCATTTTTAATTTGTTAACCGCTCAGAAAACCAAATGACAACTTAGAAAAATATGAAGAACATATTGTGTCATATCATATAAATAACGTATGAATTGAAAGTTTGATTGTGACGGGAAATCGTTCCAGTGGCTTCTGACAAATCGCAGTCCCTTTTTGTAGAAAATTGTTTATGAAGACATCTTAAATTGGCGAAAATCCAATAGAAAAGCAGCTCTTTTTTGTGGTTATTTAGTTAATTTTTTAAATTGTTTAATTATTGATTACCGTCCCTTCCTTTGGCCATACAGAAATGAAAGGAAACTTCTTGAATTAATGAAATAATAACCAATCTTCTGCTTTCTTTCAACCATGAAAAGAAACAACAAACGTCACAAGAAATGTATACGTTGACATCTACTTTGGTCCTCGTCCGCTAGACAAAATATCTACATTACACAGAATAACACAGAATAATTATTATATCATCATCTGCAAGCATTTTAAAAACACCTCAGTTTAGAAAGATTTTTTTTTCTGTATCTCTTAATAAATTGCCTTCCGGCAATGCTGGTCCTGTTTTCTTCCCCTTTAAAACATTTATTGTTGGCTTACTCTTGCATTCAATTATTCAGTACATAAGTTGAAGAAATCGCGCGTGGTTCTTGTAAAACGTCACTACATCTTGACTTATCCGCATCAAGAGGATTTGGTCGAGGAAAACGGCATATTTTCATCTCTTACCTGATTCTAAAGGCTTTATAAAGTTCAAGGCCCTGAAGCCTCTTCAGTTCACCAATGAGAGCCATTCAGGCTTTCCTATGTTCTGTCTGCCTAGTCCTGACTGATTTTATTCAGCGAGTAGAATTAACTCGAGATGACAAACCAGCCATTGGTAAGCAAGTTTTTACACCTAACTCATAACTTACATTTCGCCGAGTGAACTTTCACTAGTACTAGAACTTTAGTTTGGTGTAAAGTAAAAGTAAAATTGAAGTCATCTGAAAAAGGTTGGAGTTCTCTTTCTGAACGAAATGATACCAGGATAGGTTTTAGACTGGAATATATTTTTTGCACGCACTTTTCCAATTCAGGAGTTATCCTTTGAAACGTCTTTGATCAAATGATTTACTTTCTGAGGAAATTATACTTTCGCATGAAATACGTTTTTGTATGCATTTATTCTTTTAAAGTTGGTAATGAGTTTTCAACAACTGTGATTAGTATTATCTTGTTCGGAATCAAATTACTTATTGATAGAACGAATTTCGGCTCATCCCCTTGAGTTTGTTTTGCTTGAATACGCCTGAAATGTGACTGGTTCAAAAGAAAAAACGCGCAGGAATTATTAACAAATCAGACTTAGTCAATCCTGTTTTCCAGCACTTAATGTCAGTTTCGTGGTCTCATTCCTTGTTGTATCTACCCCTGATTTGATTTTTCCGTTGTGATTACCTTGATTGCGTTCCATATATACTTTAGAATAAACTCGTTAGTAGTTGGAATGCCAGTTGAAAGAAAGGATCCAGGCTGCATTAAGTCCTTTATTGTCACTTGCACCTAAAACAGGACTGGACTTGAACTTGAAAATGATCCATGATGCATCCTGCATTCACCTATTTCCCCGGAAATTTACCCGAAAGTAGCTCCAGCAGTCGTAGTCAAGGCCATTCAGTCTAACAAATGAATAAAGGCTGATAGTTTCTAAAGAAACTGTTAGGGGTTGCGTCGGTGGGGGTAACGAAATAATTTGAATATATCAACAAAGTTGAAATGGTAAATTGGCCACCGTAATGATTTTTGATAATAAACTATCTATCTATCGATTACAAAAGCTGACGTTTCGAGCGTTAGCCCTTCGTCGGAGCTAACGCTCGAACGAAAGGCTAACGCTCGAAACGTCAGCTTTTGTAATCGTTACGGTGGCCAATTTACCATTTCAACTTTGTTGATATATCCAAATCATTTCTAACAAAGTCTGTTTGCTGCTACTGCAGCTCCACTGTGGTTTGCAGTTTCTGTTTGCTCCTTTACATCGGAGCTAGGTACTATATCGAGAAGAGAAGGCAAATTCTGACCGAAGTTATGACGCGAATTCGCCAGTGCAAATACAGCCTGATATACTTGGCTCACAGAATATACCAACTCACAGAAAATAACGGTTGATCAGTGAATGCAAATATTACTTAAGGTAACGTTACTTCGTTGCTTCTCAGGTGTAGTTTACCACCCAAGAGATAAATCTGTCGCCAATATGCTAAAAGAGGTCATTAACACGTCTACATGTCAAAGAAATCTTAACTCGAAATCAAACGAGATATGCATCGATGTGATACCGATCGAGATAAATTCTGCAAAGGACCTGCTGATGTATGGTAAGTGCAATTGGTAATGATATATATGTAATTCGATGATTTGGTTGGTGAGGAAGCTACATTATGAGTAGCCAGTCACTTGATCAAGCGGTCAAATGAGCCAGTTTGTCAATCATGATGTTAAAGTATATAGAAAGATTACTAAAAGTCTTGAGTGGAAGCCTTGGCAATATTGGCAGTAATTATTTTCCTCTTTAGAAAACTTAAAGAAGATGAGTTGTGCAATAGCAATCTTCGACTTGTCATTTGGTGATCACTACTCCTTTGCTTTTGCTGAGGTGCTCACCATTCCGTTACTGAGTTTCAAGCCTGCCCTTCAGGATTTGGCAAGTGATTTTTTCTACTCCGCACTGCCATCTTACCAGATGTATTCCCGTGCGATGGTGGACCTGCTTGATTTCTGTATCGGTAAAGAGAGCTCTCCAAGAGAGAAAGTAGCAATTCTGTTTGAAGGTAAAGAATCGCTTTTTTAACCTGGACTGCGAATTCTAGCACTGTTTCCTTTACAGACAGTTATTAACTTTAGTTATCTTTGCTGGATCCCTCTGGTTACCTGCAAAAAAATTAAATCTACACTGAAGCCTCACGATATTCATGGCTATGTTCACACTTGGTACCCGAATATTATTGCCAATGCACCGGCACAAAATGGTACTGTGTTCAGACACTGGGTACTCGATATATCAGTGCCCGGTTCCATGCCAGAGCAAAAGGTCAAGACTCGGGCACGGGCCCGAATTCTGGCGTGGCTACTTGAAAAAATTGTGTGCGATTCACATTGGCGCTCATCAAGAATCGTACTCGGGCACCGTGCTCGAGCACCAAGTGTGAACCCAGCCTATCAATGTTTCATGAAGCAGTGTGGCTGGGTGATACATGAGGCCGGGCTTGTTATCTGCCCTCCAACCTGCCACTCGCTGGATTTGTTCTCAGTTATCCCGAATACAAATCCTTGGCTGCACTTTGCCAACTAGTCTGCCTCTACCAGCTTGAGTTTTTAAAAACTCCGTTTCTTTACAATGTTTCAGTTTGTTCGTATTGGCCTTAAAGCCCCATTTGGGGAGTGGCCAATAAGTGTGCAAATCCAAGGTGTCTGTCTCAGTCCGGGTATTTTATGAAACACTTACGCGTCTGTCCTGGTCAGGGTATTTTAAGAATATTTTAGTAGCCCTGAGGGAAAACAGAGATGGAAGATATTTTTACCTAGCCTCCCTCAAGGTCCTTGTTTCGCTCCTCCATATCAGTCTAATGAGAAAGGGTTATGATTCTTCAAAATGATGATTATGATTATAATTGCATCAAAATTCTTCTAATTCTTTCCAGCCGATTACTCTGCTGCAGCCATACAGGTTTACTCAATAGCGCGTGAAATGGAAAAGTTTAAAGTTGATACTATTCCTGAATTACAAGTCAACGACAACATTCAGCTACAACGCGCCCTTGAAGTTCTTCCCAAAGTGCGCGCAAACTACGTTCTGGTTATTTGTAGACCAGAAAATCTGGCCACTATTCTTGAGATGGTAAGAGTGGTGTGGGCTATGTCTGTTGTTAGCTATAGGTGCAAGTTTTCTTTGAGCTTTAAACATTTACACCCTAACACCCATACCGTACTCTATACATTTCCTAAGTTGCAGACAAGGAGAGTTTGTTTAACAATCAAGAGCTTTTCTAGTTGGTGATCATTTACTTTATCCTCGTCACCTTAATCTTTGATTCAAGGGTGATATTGTTAGGAGAAATTAGATGCTGGTCATTGTTAAGGGCTAAAGGGTTAAACAGATTGGCTCAGCCACACTCTTTCATTGGATAAGCTGAAGCCAAATGATAATCAAAAATGATTTCCAATCACGACGTAAAGGAAATTTTTTTATGACTTGAAAAGATTTAGACTGACTTCTGAACATCTGTAATCAATTCATTTGAATAGTTTTTGAGTTCCTACTTTTTATGTGTTTCAGTCACTGCGTCTGGGAGCTATAAATAAAGATTCAAGATGGTTTACCTTCAGCGTGGTATGAAACATTTTCATAAACTACCTTTGAAAACCAGAGACTCAACAAAGTCTTGTGCGGGGAGTCTTTTGCCCGTGATCCAAATAATAATTTATAACCTCTGTTGCACCAATTTTGACCAAAAATGTTTTTCATCGTGTCTAAAAAGTCGCTTTCCTTTTTCCTTAAATACTTCGTAACGCAAAAGGAACCGAAAGGAACGCCTTCCCCTGAGTTTCCCTTAGAGAATAAGGAAAAAGAAAAGAAAAAAGAAGTTCTTAGTCCTAAAAAACCTAGTTCAAAAAACATAATCAAAAACAACAATTCAAACGAACCAAAAAAAGAAAGGAATCGTTGCACATGTAATGTAAATTGTGCGAGGTATATATCCCAACAGAACACTAACTTGACACTAACTTGCCGTTTGTCTCATTATTTTACAGGATTTTAAAGGTAACATATCAAAAAGTTGTTTTAAGGGACTCGTTGGCTTCCAGGTGAACCTGACAGACGTTCAAAGGGCTACAACACTGAAGAGGAAATTTCAGCTGGACAGCGACATAAACCAGATATCAGAGGTAACCAAGAATTCATACGAAATGTTTTGTGAGACTAGTAAATAATCATTGTTATTATTATTATTACTATTATTATTATTATTATTATTATTTGTTAAAGACAGAAAGAAATCTTTCCATCGAAATAAGTTGATCTCAAATTCAGTAATAAGAACCAAATTAACGTGACTGAATTTAGCTTTAAAATCATGACATAACATAATAGCTACTGTCTTTATTGCTTCCTGCATATCCTGCACATTGAAACTAATGAATTTTAATCCATTATTTTTAGTATGCATAATATGCAGGAAGTAATGGAGTTAAATTAGTATTTTCTTTTTTATGGAGGGAGTAATAGTGCACAGTAATAACTGTGCACAATCTTTGCATCAATTGAATTGAGTCAAATTCTTGGTCATCCGTTTGATCATGTTACTCCTATGCATAGAAATCAGGGTAGTAACCTAGAGCTGTTTGTACTCGCCATCGCACCACATTTTCTTTCTGTAAATACCTTGACTCGATTGGATGCCTAATGGCTCCAATGCTTAAGCAATTAGATGAAAGGAAATTGTCACAATCTTATCACCAACACTTTCGCAAACCAGCCGCTTATTTGGAAGGGCTGGTTGTAAAGACCTAGCAGGTCCTCATCAATTTTCGCAAGAATGTGGACTATAATTACATTAGCTCCTAATATAGAAGACACCTTTTCAGATTGTTAGTCTATTCAGGACTTACGAAAGGATTAGGATGAGAAAACGTGAGAACAAAAACGGTTATCTTTTAAAGCTCACTTTTGATTTAAACGCGGAACCGAAACTTACTGTTGAAACCAGGGCTCAGTTCTCATGTATATTAATCTTCTTAAGATCACGTACGCATTGGTCAATGATACAGTTTACGCAGTCATAGAAGCCTTCAAGCAAGATACGAAAGGGATCTCAAGACACCAGAGAGAATGTTTCGCACTTGGGTATAGAACTGAAGATAGTAGTAAAAAACTGCTCAGCAATCTAAACGAGAAGGTAAGGAAATGGTAATTCTAGCTGTTAACCTCCGTAAAAGTGTCGAGGTTCCAGATTTAATCGACCAGACAAAAAATCTCTACAAATGACGGATATTACCCCTACCGTAAAGTGGTAAAGAACGAGGAACGTTCCGTACGCACCTGTTTACTCTTTCATGCTAACATCGGTATGCATTTTTCTCCAAACTTTTCCAAATTTCTCCAACTTTTCCAAACTTCTCCAAATTTTTCTCCAAGCTTTTTACATATTTCTATAGTACTTACAAGGAGAATTTGTCAAACAATCAAGAGCTTCTTGAGTTCGCGATAATTTCCTTTATTCTCAGGCCTTAATGCGTGATTCAGGGATAATACCGTTGGGAGAACCAAAATAATTTGCTTATCATCCCTGAGGGTTAAAGGGCTAGATGCGTAATGTTCAACGTCAGATCTCGCTCGCGTGTGAGATCAGGTTCTTAGTTCTTATTAACCGAGCGGGAGGTCTGTATGGGAGAATCTTGACCGAGGTCGCCAGTACAGACCGAACGCAGTGAGGTCTGTACCAGCGACCGAGGTCAAGATTCTCCCATACAGACCGACCTAGCTCGGTTAATAAGATGTTTATTATATGGCTGTGTCTTATATGCCAATTTTTTATATTCTTTGTACCTTTTTTTTCTAGACCGGTCTAGATGGGAAAATCTAGACCGCTTTCAATATTGATTCCAGCCAATCAAATTCGTGAATTCGGTAGTTCCCAGTCCTTGTGAGACACAGCCATATAATAATATAGAATATTAACTGCCATCATGCATTTTCAGGTAAAGTTGAAGGGAGTCACAGGGTTAGTGGATTTCGATAATAAGACAAGAAGCAGACTCGTGGAGAGGTTGGATATAATAAATGTCCAGGCACAGGAAGGTGACAGCGGTGGAACGTTGTTGGTCAACGTAAGTTCCTTTCACCCTTTCCTCTAGTTTCTTCGACATAGTCACTGGTCTCACTCATTAATTTTGGGTAAATACACAGTTCGATGGTGGAGGTTATAAATCCAAAACCAAACGTATAATAACAACCTGCAATAAAACTGAAAAACATAAGAAAACTGTCTGGAGCCCGTGAAACGTGCGCGAGTTGCGTCATGTTACATGAGATGGTGATGAAATTTTTCCAGATTAATCACTGAGCAAAATGGAACACTAACTATGTAAACACGAGGTACATTCGAAACTCTGTTGAAAGTTTCGCTAATCAGCTGGCAATCATAAAGAATAATTTAAAGTTATTCAACTGCTATGAGGGAGCATAAACTGAGAGAACTTATTCCCCCATACATACCCCTATTCCACTGATATATTTTTAAAATCTAATTTAGTGCACGTTCGTGCGGTGCGACTATGTTTAGAGAAACAGCTGATTGGTTAGTGGTTATGGAGAAACCGATGTTACATATGACTGATATCGAGATCGGTGACCAAATTATCATACAAGTTAGAATAACTTCCCAACGTGGCGCGAAATTTAAAATAGACTTAAAAATTGTCGCGGGTCACAGGCATATGTTATCTCAGTTTATATTGTCTTGCTGCTGACACTAACGTTTCCGACTCGTTTGAGTAGGTTGGTCACTGGAACGCAAACCGAAAAAAAACACTTAACAAACCAGTGCAACTTGACAGTTTGGAGGACTCTATTGACTGGACTGGCGATTTCTGGGAGGAATTGCAATGTTTAGTGCAAAAGAAGAAAAACAGAAAAAAGCCCTTGGAAGGGCGTGTGCTGAAAATTGTTACGATAGAAGTAAGCGCGAGATTAAAAAATGATGAACATTGATTGGACCGTTGTGAGAGTAGATCACAATTATATTCGAAGACAGTAATAATATGATAACATTGATGGCAACGTCCACCTTGACAGTGGAGTAGACGAGAGTGATTTTTATCAATGATTTCCTGAGATTTAGTTCATTCTATTTTACACTGACACGTGTTTCACTAAAACAACAGCACCAAAAACAATCAACCACTTGAGTAGTATGTGTGAGATCTTGTCATTGTGGCACATTGTCTGGCACATTGTCTGGCACATTGTCATGGTGCCAGACAAAAATCGTGTATAATAGTAATAACAATTTTTAATCAACACAATTTATAAGTTGATCTTTCCTCAATTCTTATTACTTAACACAAAATCTCCCCTTTTAGGATTCACCGTTTTGTATAAGGACAGCGAACCAGACCGAGGGAAAGCCAAAATATGAAGGATTCAGTATCGACCTTCTTGACGCAATTCAAAGGAAAATGGGCTTCAAATATACACTCATAACTAACAAAGATGGGAAAATGGGTTCTAAAGATCAAAAAACTGGACAGTGGAATGGACTGATTGGAGAAATTATCGAGAAGGTTTGATAAAATTAATAAGAAATTTATGTTGTCGTTAATCAAAAATGCAATGAAGTATTTTTCCCAAGGGAGACGAAGAGCCGTTCTGTCTCGTAAATTAAATATTTGCTTGTTTATCCGCTAGTATAAGTTTTAAGAGATTCGCAAATTAATGTACAGTTTCCTTCTTTTTCCAAGGAAAAGAAATTTTTACGTACAATTTGATGAACGACAGTAAATTTCTCCTTAATTCAAACGAAGATTCTTTTTGGTTTTCAGAGAGCACACGTGGCTATAGGTGCGATTACTATCTCTGCTGTACGAGAGTTAGTTGTTGACTTCAGTAAGCCCTTCATGGATTTCAAAGTCAGTCTGTTAATGCAGAAGGAAAACGAACAAGTGAACCTGTTTGTATTCTTACAACCGTTTGAGAGGGATGTTTGGCTTTCTACTTTGGCCGTCGTGAGTATTTTTTCGCTGAGTTCAGTTGGAGCCTGCGTATCATTTTTTTTTAACTGATTGAAAATGAAGAGGATACACTAGGAAACCTTCTCATAGTGGGCACCTTTTTTTAAATGTGCTAAAAGTTTGGTATAGTGGGGCTCTGAGCCAACTCACTTTCGTAAAATGTTAGCTCTTTTAGTAACAGGAAGTACTGAAAAAATTGCTTTCTTTTGAGTGTATGCTCATCCCCTTTGACTCATGATTATAGGACTGGGAATAGCATCTAATTTCTCCGTACAATATCGTTCCGCTGAATCAAACATTAAGGTCAGGAGAGTAAAGGAAATGATCAGTGTCTAAAGCGGAGAAGCTTTTGATTGTTAAACAAATTCTCCTCGTCAACGCCTTAGGAAATGTGCACACAACAGAATGAAGAGTATGCATACTGATGTTAGGGCGTAGAGGGTTGTATAGTAAGTGAGAAATAATAGGGCGGGTTTCTCATTTTTCACAAAAAGTTCTAAAGGAAACTTAGTACAACCTTTGCATCATGAACTGATAAGAGTCGGAAGTAATGATTAGTCAAAGATCAAAGACAGAACACTGTTTTTCCTGCTATTTCGATTCGTTTCAGACATTTTCTGGTGATTTCATCTCATTACTAGGTGATAGGCATCACGTTCCTCGTGTTCTGTTTGGATTACCTAAGCCCCAATGGATACCGAGCGATGGCGGTAGGATCTGGCGAAGGAAGGATTAGGATGAGAAAACGTGAGAACAAAAACGCTTTCTTTTGAGTGTATGCTCATCCCCTTTGACTCATGATTATAGGACTGGGACTAGCATCTAATGTTTTCTTTTGAGTGTATGTTCATCCCCTTTGACTCATGATTATAGGACTGGGACTAGCATCTAATTTCTCCTTTCAATATCGTTCCGCTGAATCAAATATTAAGGTCAGGAGAGTAAAGGAAATGATCAGCGTCTAAAGCGGAGAAGCTTTTGATTGTTAAACAAATTCTCCTTATCAACGCCTTAGGAAATTTGCACACAACAGAATGAAGAATATGCATACTGATGTTAGGGCGTAGAGGGTTGTATATAAAGTGAGAAATAATAGGGCGGGTTTCTCATTTTTGACAAAAAGTTCTAAAGGAAACTTAGTACAACCTTTGCATCATGAACTGATAAGAGTCGGAAGTAATGATTAGTCAAAGATCAAAGACAGAACACTGTTTTTCCTGCTATATCGATTCGTTTCAGACATTTTCTGGTGATTTCATCTCATTACTAGGTGATAGGCATCACGTTCCTCGTGTTCTGTTTGGATTACCTCAGCCCCAATGGATACCGAGCGATGGCGGTAGGATCTGGCGAAGGAGACGGGGACGAACTTAATTTTTCCAACAGTATGTGGTTTGCCGCTGGCTCCATTTTGCAGCAAGGTGCTGATAAGACACCAAGGTCTGGCTCAGGGAGGATGCTGGCTGGCGCATTCTGGTTTTTCACGCTGATTCTCATATCTACTTACACTGCAAACTTGGCCGCCTACTTTACAGGTACTAAACAATTTAGATGCAGCTTCCGAGACGTTCTATGCCCCAGAATATACCGTCTTGTTGTGAATTTATTCCGCCCAGATCGTAGGCAAATCCAGTCTCAATTTAACTCTTCGGCCACCCTCGACTGTTGTTGTTCTTCAAGTCAAGCGAAAATCCTTAAGTAATAGCTTATCTTCTCGTCTTAGATTCAGATTATTTTGCATCTGTTGGCACAAACTTTCAAAATGGTAGAAAAGGACGTAAATGGTCATCAGTTCCTTCTCTGGAGAAATTTTATATCGAGTGTCGAAAGTAATCCAGGATTGCATTGGTTTTGCTTTTCTTCGCTCTGTGACTGGTCCAGAAACTCGCGCCTCTTTCTCAACCAATCAGATGCAAAACTAACACCAAACACGACTTGGTCACCCGAGTTTTTCCGCGTTTTTTTTTTTTTTTTTAAGTCTTCATTGGCTTTTCTCTCTCTCTTTCTTCCGATTGGCCGTTGTAATTATTATGGTTTTGGTTTTATGACCCTCAATCGAAAAGCACTATATACAGTAAACTGTCAAATTGTTATGCGTTGATTACTTCGAAGTTTCGACATCTACCCTTTTGCGCAACTCCCTAGGCATTTAAACTTTTGTGAAAAGATTGTGTTCAAGAGCCTCACCCAATTTTTTTGGTCAGAAAAAACAAAAGCGGCAACCGTGCATGACACATTGACCAAGCTTAAAAACGTGCACGTCGGAGATCTTTTCTTCTGAGCCATTCACTCGCGACAGTGAACTACTTACCTTGAACACCTCCATATTTTAAGGTGTAGCACTTGTATTCCGCTGGAAATACTTGACACCGCTTTTTTTGAGAAAAACATCGTAAACTATTTTTAACAGGGGAATGAACCACTCCGGTCAGTAATCAGTTACGATCTTGCCTTAAATGTTAAAATTCTCGACCTTATTTCCAGCCAAAAACACGAAAAGAAGCATTAACTCTCTGTCAGACCTGGCTAATCAGAAGGAGATTGACTATGGTGTGCTAAATGGAGGATCTTTGTACACATTCTTCAGTCAGTCCGAGGTGGAGATTTATCAAAAGATGTTCATAAGAATGAAAAGTGAAGACACATTTGTCAATTCCACAAAGGAGGGAGTTCAAAAAGTGAGGGAGGGTGGCTTTGCCTATCTGACAGACGGACCCTATCTGGACTACTATAACAGCAAGGAACCATGTAACACTATGATGCTGGAGAATTTACTGGAGGCCAAAAGTTATGGTATTGCACTTCAAAGGAACTCCGAACTTACGAACCAATTTTCAGTCGCCATTCTTCAGGTAATTTTTGGCGAGTTTTTAAATATCCTTAAGCCACAAAGACCCACTTAGCAATCAGTTCTCCCTTTTAACTGATATAGTCTTCTTTGCCCATTGGTTAAAAGAATTTGATGTTATATCAAAGTATAGCGCGGTCCGGTTGATTAGTTCAACTCGTCCCACAACAGTAATGATACTGTACGGAGAAGGACCATGTTAATCACATATGAAAGTACGATATATGGGTTAAGGCTATATATGAGAAAAGGAAAGAAAAAAAGGAAAAGAGAGAGAAAAGAAAAATTGAGAATAGGAAAGAGAAAAAAAAGGAAAAAAGAGAGAAAAGAAAAGAAAGAAAAGGGAAAATGAGGGAATGAAAATTTGAGAAAACGAAAGGAAAGAAAAGAAACGAGGGAAAAGAAGGTTGCATGAAAGAGAGAGAAAGCGAGAAAAACAAAGAAAGAAAAGTCAAGAAAAGAAAAGGAACGAAAAGAAACAAAGGAGAACAAAGTTGCATGATAACGATTCCTGGTAATTTATGGCTTCTGCACCCTATTAAAGAAAAGGGAAAGAGAAGGAAAAAAACGACTCAAGAAAAAATAGGAAAATTTGGTTGTTTTAAGTGTCGTCGCTTGTTTCAAAGCTCCGTGAGGAAGGTGTGGTCGACAAACTAAAAAAGAAGTGGTGGGATCGTCGCAGTGAGTGCACAGACTCCACAGTCAAAGTTAGCAGCACACCTATGAGTATCTCATTGGATCATATGGCGGGCGTGTTAATTGTCCTGGCAGGAGGGATCGTGGTGTCCATTATGTGCCTCATGGTCGAGAGGAGGTGTAAAAACCTGAGGCGGGAAGTCAACAAAAGCACGGTGAGTGCATCGGTAAATGTTGGCATGTTTAGTTGAATTCGTGTCTCACGAGCCCAAACACACCCCGGAGCCCAAACGCAAAGCTCCCAGAATTCCTAGATCAGCTCTGATTGAGCAATATTTTCTACCCATGCCCTGGTACTATATGGATACTGCAGGAGCCGGCCAAAAATCGAAAATCTGACTTAAGAAAATCGATCAACATTTCACTGTCTACATTTTGTGACACCTGAAGCAAGTACTGCTAAATGGAGCTGTGCAGCAACATTAACTTTCACATTAACTGGTTTGTTTCACGCTAAAACACACATTCTAAGGCTTTAATTCGCTCTGCTGCAGTCGATTTTAATGAACACCTTTCCATGGCAAGTGTATGAAGAATTCCCTGATGTAAGATTTTCACGATAGTCAGAAATCAACAATGAAGTCCTTCTTCGTAATCTTACGTTTCATTTCTAAACGTTAATTTTTTTCTTTCAAAAGTAGCTCACTCTTAGTTGACAGTGAAACAATCGTGGTCGTGCTTTTGATGTTCTATCGTGAGTCCGTAAGGGTATTAACTTATGGTAAGACCCCCTTTGCACTCACAAAGTTTATTTGACATACACCTAAAAATGCAATTTTTTTCCATCTCTAGTCTATGGCGAGCGTAAAAGAGCAGATGGACTTACCAGCGGTGACGACACAAGTTTACCGAAGGCCATTCTCAGATCACGGACTGGAGAACAAAACGTTTAATAACATAGACAATCGTAGGAACATGGACGTGAAAGACGGTGCACGCCCGCGAGACAGCTTGAGTGTTCCTAGAATGCAGTCGAGGCTTCCAAATGTTTATGCGGGAGCACCGGAAAGTAACCTGTGATTGGACACCGCGTTTCAAAGGCATATTACGTCATTAATAGGGCAGAAGAACATTTGCGCAAGGGCGGTGCCTCTAAGTCGACTTTGATGGAAGAGTAATTGACAAATGTCGTAACTCGCTCATATTCAGATAGTTTCTGCGGTGTTAAAAAGGTCAAATAAACATAATATGATCTAATACTCGAAGGCAATTTAGCTTTATCAACCCAGTCGATAAAGTAAAAGGTTTAAAAGCTGACGTTTCGAGCGTTAGCCCTTCCTCAGAGCAGAAAACTTTAGCAACGGTAAACTCACCCCCCTTTATAACATTCAAAGGGATGATTAGTTCCTCAAAATATTATGATAATATTATTATCAATATATTTTCCCATTCCCCTTAATTAGCAAGACATACTTGTCTCTGCCTACTTAATAGATTTTAATACTGTTTGTGTTTTGCTGTTTATTACATCCATTTGGAAAACATTGTAATTCTTGCAATCTGATTGGCTCCTACACCTGAACCTATAAAAAGATGACCTCCTTATAAAGAAAGAAAATCCTGCCCTCTTATTGCTTAAAATCCCTTGACTCCCAACCTCTCCATAATAAGTTATGACTAGTCCTTAATTCCCATCATCTCCTCAACAGCCAGTGAGAATTTCTTATAGTGAAGGGCTGCAAAATGAACTAAATGAAACTCTGTTTTTAGGCTAAATCTAAACATTAATTCAATTAATGGAATCAGCTATTGCCCACTGCAAATGGCTGTGATTTATCAGTGTTTTTGCAAATCCATGGATCTGGTTTCAGTCCACCAACAGATCATGAAATACTTCTACTGATAATTGTTTATCATTGTTATACATAAATGGTGGTTAATATACTATGGTCAGGGGTTGAGCAACCTGTATGCGCTTACACAAGGAAAATCCTGAGAAAATGTCGAAGAGAACATTCTCAGTTAAATACAAAAACACACATGATAACAGATTGTGGTCATCACAAAGTTTTAACCTGTGGTGTCCCACAGGGAACGATTTTGGGGCCTCTTTTGTTTATACTATTATATAAACGACCTTCCCAATTGCCTCATGCATTCACAACCTGGAATGTATGCTAAGGACACTACTATCACTTATGCAAGCTATGTCTATGTAAAAGAAATAGAGCATTGTGTTAACTTAGATTTAGATAGAATTCATATATGGCTTGCAGCATACAAACTTACACTAAACACGACTACCGGTAAGACAGAATTTATATTGATTGGGTCTAGGCAAAGACTGTCAACACTAGAAAGGAATCCCATCATTGAAATCAACCAGTTTCCAATTGAACAAGTGTTGACTTCAAAATCCCCAGGAGTTCACATCAATGGACATCTTTCTTGGGAGTGTCATATTAACAATACATCTCCAGGAAGATTGCTTTTGGCATAAGTGCAATTAAGGTATTTTCTCCCTTTTGAGATTCTACCTAACATATACAATTCACTGGTACAGCCACACTTTGATGCTGCAGGAAAGACTTGACACTTCCAGATAAAATTTCCCAACCCCGGTTAGCTCAATGGATAGAGCACTGGACTGTTGTACGGGAGGTCGAGAGTTCAAGCCCAGGCTGGACCAACACTCAAGGTCTTAAAATAATTGACAAGAATATGCTGCCTTTCTATAATAGCAAGAAATGGTTTAGATACTCTAGTCTTCTCGGATAGGGACGAATAAATGAAGGTCCCATCTCCTGCAGGGTTAGGGGCAGGAGACACGCATGAGAGATTACTGTGTGATGGATGTCCTCCCCTGGGGTGGGTTGGGTAGGTTTGTTGGAGCTTAAACCTCGTAGGGGACCTGTGTCCTATTGTTTCTGCTCCAGTACTTTGTACAAATCCTTAAATACTCAAATACTAACCCCTGTCATAGACAATGGTCAAGTGCCCCTGTAGAGAGGGGGGATGTGTTGTTGAACCACCAAAGTGATCTGTGCATAGCCTTACTCTCCTCAAGTGGGGGTCCCACTCCTGGTTGGGGAGAAGAAATGTAAGAGGTAATTCTCTTTCCCAAGAACTCAACAGAAAGACCTTGCCTGAGGACAAACCCACACCTTTCAATGCAGAGTCCAAAATGGTAAATACTACAGTATCTATACCTGTGTCTGCATATCAGATATATCTAAATTGAATTAATGGATGGAAGTCTATGACTGGTAAATTAATGTGCATACATGTACATAATTATTTCATTTAAATTTATTTCACCAAAAAGAGCTCTTTCACACTATTTAAAAGAAATGCACAATATATCCCCAACATCCCTGCATTAGTACCTCGAAAGTCATATCACAAATTCAAGAGCCAAAGAATTTCAAAATAGTTCAAAAGTTGTAAGCTTCTTTAAATTTAATGATACAAACTTCATTATCCAGAGCACTCCTTTACAACTCGACTCTGAGTCAAGAATCAATAGAGTGTAAATTTACATGGATACAATTCAACTTTTGTATGATGTTTCAAGAAGACAGTTTCATTCCCTGACTTCCTTCTGGTTATTTCCTTCCTTCAATACTCTCTTTCAGTCTTTTCACAATTGCTTCTTTCTCTTTAACTAGTTGTTCAAGCTCAGCGGCACGGGCTTCCTATAATGCCAACGATTGCAAAACATGTGTTAACCCTTAAACCCTAAGAGTGATGAGAAATCAATAGAACTTTTCCCAACAGTACCACACCTCAATCAAACATCAAAGAAGGTCAAAAGAAAAAGGAAATGATTGCAAACTCAAGAAACCCTTCATTGTTCAACAATTTCTCCTTGTAGCCACCTTCGGAAATTGGGTAAAATTGAAGAACAGCTCCCCAAAATATCTTTCGGCTGACTGTCCGCCCACTGTTGGTGAACGAAACACAGAAAACACAATGAAAACAAATTCAGACACAAGTAAATAGACTGTCATCTTTGTAAGTTTGAACTTTCGCAATTACCTAAAAATGAATTTTGACCAACACCACACGATAGAGGTAAATTTCGAGTGTGAGGCATTATTGATCATCATTTATGTGAACTTGATGTGTATGTGGTATCTGACTGACACATTTTGTTCACCTGAAATTGGAAGAGTTTAGTTACTTAGATTTAGCAATACGAGTAAATTTTTTCAAAGACTCACAAAATTGCACGAGCCCATATTTTCATTGTGTTTCTGTTGTGTTTTCGTTGTGACTTCTGTGTTTCGTTCGCCAACAGTCGGCTGACAGATATTTTTGGGAGTGGTTCTTCAATTTTACCGGAAATTGTACATTTCAGAGAGCAGTAGAGATAGAGACCATAGATATTGATGTTAAGGTGTCAACGGTTAAGCAGTCACATTTTATAGGCTATAAAAGCGAAGCCATACAATCCCTGTGGCAATGTTGTAGTGTTGTAACTACATGTGAGAAAGAAATATACATTTAAGTAAAACATTTAGAATGGTTTTCATGAACAATCATGTATTTACCCCAATACAATATAGTTGACTTCTGATAACTCAAGAACTAAAAAACATTTCTGTTGCCCACTTTAGGAGTTTTAACTCTTAAAATGGGTAACAGAAATGTTTTTCATTTGGTTTTAAAAAACCAAATGACTAGAAATAAGGTAAAATGGTCTTTACCAGTGTCATTTTTCTGTTCTCATATGGTACAATTAATCAAATTCAGTTAATCAAATTAAATTACACATGGATGCTGTGGGTGGAATTGGAGCATTTTGAAAAAGGATTTGAGCAGCAGAGCTTTCTGAAGATAAAATGTCCTGTGATAATTGGACACGTGATATCCTCAAAGTCCCTGACAATGACAAACATTCCTTTGTTGTGATATGAATGCTTAGTAGAGTACTGCTTCACACTGAAGTTCCAACACTAAATACATGTAGACCCCTGTATATACTGCAAGTCCAATAATCATCACTCTTCATGTGCATGATTTAGTTAAATGAATTTTATCTGTTAAATAGGAAAATTCTACTTTTAAAACCATTTTGAAGACACCTTCATAGTAATTAATGGCTTACAAATCACATCAATGGGTTGGAATAATCATGGTCAATAAGGACATGCTACATATATGAGCATTTTAAAGAAATATGGAGTATACTCTCTCATCTCCCATCTTCTCTTTCCCTTGGCTCTTAAAAACTTTGATGAGGTAATGGTCACACTCACTACAGTTGTAAACTACCAGTATGTAGTTTCCAATGGTAAAGGGTCATTCACTACAGGAAATTCAAGTGCCAGAGTAACAACAAGTATAACTCACCGTGCAGGAATTAAAGGAAGAGTTGTTTGGTAATCATATAAAAATTATTAGGCTGTTTTAGAAACAAACTCATCAAATTCACAGTTATTGGTTAAAAATGCAGTGCTATTCAAGCTGAAATTCTACAGTAGAGTAACAATGATGAATATGCACACGTGGTCAGATCATCTCCTGTCCACTAAGAGGTACTAAGTTACTCCTCTGAATTCACCTTGTCAAATGCAAGCCTTTACCATCTTGCCTTAGCAGCATTAGGTTATCAAGCTGAATATTAAGATAGATAGTTACAATTTGACAAAGTGAGTTGAAGGCTATGAATGGGTAATCATCAGTAAAAGTGGACGATTGCATCATTGAAATTTGTCACTCACACATTTTCAGTGAGATAAGAGGTTTCTACGAGGTTCCTTGATGCCAAGAGGTATATATTTGGAGTATGTTATCTGAAGTAGCTTAGTCAATCCTTTTCTATTACTTGTGGGTTAATGTCCTCCTCTCTCAAATTGATCAATAAATTTCAGAAACACAGTTAATTGATTTTGTAGTGGACACTCAGGACACATCCTTCTGTGCTGGGTCTTAAACCATGTACATGCATGTACATGTAACTCCCATAAGTGATTCACAGGTTACTTCTCCCCTATAATTTCCATACATAATCCACAAAAAAAGGAATGAGAATACCAAAACTTACCATCTTGTTAGAAGTCATTATCTTGATCAAACACCAAATTCTCGTAACTAATTTATAATAAATTAGTTATGAGATCAGATCTTGGGAGTTACAATTAAAAGGGTTAAAGAGAGATGTTATTGCCAGTGGTAAGGTAGGTTTCAAAATAAGAATGACAAAAAATTGTGATGGTGCTGCATGAAACAGGACCTTCAGTTGCCAATGCACATGGCTTCAGCCTAAGTAAATATGTAGTGAGTAAAAAAAAGTACCAGTTGAAGGCATTGTTGTTTTGAGTACATGTATGTGATAGCCAAACTACACAAACTTCATTTTTAGGAAAGTTATCACTTTAACTCTTTGACACTTTAGAAAGACTGGCATCTAATTTTTACTTTCAATAACATCCTTGAATAACTCATAAAGGTCACAAGAATGAAGGAATGACCACAACCTAGAGAAGTGTTTGATTTTTCCATAAATTCTCCATGTCAGCACCTTGGGAAGTGCACAGAGAACAGTATGGTGGTATGGTGGTATGCATACTGCAGTTATCCTAGATAATCAATACACAAGCCTTGATTATCGATCCTTGATTTTTTATAGTTTCGAAAATCAAGGGTCTTGATTCAAGTCAAGAATGTCAACCTACTTTGAGCAGTACTATACACTTTATGTAGTTAGAAACTCTAGTGAATTAACTGCCTCCCGGTTAGCTCAATGGATAGAGCGCTGGACTGTTGTACAGGAGGTTGAGGGTTTGAGCCCCAGCCGGACCAACACTCAGGGTCTTAAAATAATTGAGAAGAATATGCTACCTTTCTATAACATCAAAGAAATGGTTAGATATTCTAGTCTTCTCGGATAGGGACGAATAAATGGAGGTCCCGTCTCCTGCAGGGTTAGGGGTAGGAGACGTTAATTTCCCACGCACGAGATTACTGTGTGATGGATGTCCTCCCCTGGGGTGGGATGGGTGG